GGTCTGTAGTTCTCTAAAAGAGTTGGGTTAAGGGTGGGTTTCTTAAGAAGTGGGGTTATACGAGCCTGTTAAAATGTTGAGAGAAAACACCAGTGTGAAGGGATGTGTTAATGATGTGAGTGAGTGCAGAGTGAGAAATGGCTTGAAGGAGATGAGATGGAATAGGATCAAGCGGACAAGTAGTAGGATGATTGGGAAGGATGAGTTTAGAGACTTCTGCCTCAGAGAGTGGAGAAGGATGAAAATTAGTGTATGTTTGCTGGTAAGATGTGCTTGACAGATTGTGGTGTGGAAAAATGTGCACTGAGGTTTGTAATTTTATTAATGAAGAATGTGGCAAAGTCGTCAGCTGTTAGAGTTGATGAAGGAGGGGGAGGAGGAGGTCAAAGGAGGGAGGAAAATGTTCAGAGAGCATGCGAGAGTTAGGCGAATTGTTAATTTTGTTGTGATAGTATGTCCTTTTAGCAGTGGAGACATTAGCAGAGAAGGAAGAGAGGAGTGATCGATATTCATTAAGGTCAGTGGTATTTTGTGATTTGCGCCACACCCTTTCAGCAGCCCTGAGCTTAGAACGATACTCACGGAGAACATCAGATAGCCAAGGGGCAGAAGAGGTGGTACGAGCTGGCCTGGAAGACAAGGGGCAGACAGTGTCTAAACAAGACAGAAGAGTGGAGCAGAAAGTATCAGTAGCACGGTTAACATCAAGAGATGATAACTGTTCAGGGGGAGGAAGCGAAGATGAAACCAGATAGTCGGGAGGGTGAGAGAGAGCATAGGTTATGTCGAAAGATGACATGTGTAGGGGTGTGTGTTGTGTCAGGAACCAAGTTGAGGTTAAGAGTGAGGAGGAAGTGATCCGAGGTGTGCAGTGGAGTAACCAGCACATGATCAGTGGAGCAGTGTCGTGTGTAAATAAGGTCCAGTTGGTTGCCTGATTTGTGAGTAGCCGTAGTTAATACTCGCTTGAGATCAAAAGAAGCAAGCAGAGTGTGGAAGTCTGCAGCATGAGGTTTATCTAGGTGGATGTTGAAGTCTCCAAGCATCCTCAGGAAAGTTTGAGAGCAGCACATCTAATTCTTCCACGAAGTTACCTAGTGGTCCTGGGGGTCGATAAAACAACTATAAAATAGATTTTAAGAGGGTGGGTAATAGTGGCTGAATGTGATTCAAAGGAGCTGTTAATACCCAGAGAAGGTAAAGGATTAAATTTCCAATCATTAGAGATAAGCAGAGCAGTACCTCCACCTCTTCCAGTCAGACGGGGAGTGTGGGAAAAAGAGAAATTATTGGAGAGTGCTGCAGGAGTAGCAATGTCCTCTGGTTTGATCCAGGTCTCTGTCAGGGCCATGAGGTTTAGTCTTGAATGACTAGTAATAGAAGTATTGAAATCTGCTTTGTTTACAGCAGACTTGCAATTCCAGAGATCAATAGAAAAAGAAAGTAGTGTATTAGCAGACATAGGCAAAGTGCGCAGGTTGTTAGGATTGCGCTGCCTACAGTATGTGATGCGTGGTTTGCGAGTGGTAGTGATAGTAGGGATCTGGAAACACATAGTAAGAATTGGTCATAAAAACTGAAGCAGAAGTGAAGAAAGGTGTAAAAAAGAGGTTGAGTAAAAAGCGATACTTACGTCCCTTGTCTGTGTCCCTGCACTGTGGAGTCTAAGCAAGCGCACGACACTGACAAGGTATGCGATACAGTACGAGACCAAACGCAACTTCAGCATGTCTTGACGCACGGATAAAGTGGCACACAATGCCATGGGCCCCCGGGGGCCCCGCCGATCATCCGTGAGGAGGAGTATCGCCTGCAGTAATGACATAACTGTTGTTTTAACGATGTGGAAGCTGACATTATTATGTCACTCACTTCAAGTTCAGAGAAAACAGAAGTCCTCCTGACTTTCCTAGAATGCCCCTGTGTGAGTTTGTGTCTTATATTTCTATATGATATGATCAATATCACATGAGCAAACATGCCGTTTCAAATATTAGCACGATCACAAATGTGATAATGTCCGTTTTTTATCTATTTAGCAAAGCAAAAATAGTTCCAAACAAAACATTACAAAGTAAGTGAATCCGGTTTTCTGAACAAATCAATGATTCATTGAAGAGAGTCACTGAATCATTAAAGAGAGTCACTTGCCTTGTTCCTGAATAAATCAACCGTTTTAATGAATCATTTGAGTAAATGACTCAATGACGCACTCATTAAGATTCTACGGTTTCACAGACGAGGCTTAAAACTAGTCCCAGACTAAAATACATCAAACCTGAAAGAAACTTGCACTGACTGATCTTAAAATGTCTTGTCAGTGCCATTGATTTGTCTCAAGATGCACATCGGTAACACACAGACACACACACACACACACACACACACACAGACAGACACCGACACCGACACTCACACACACACATACACACTCTCACACAGACACACACACACACAGACACACACAGACAGACACAGACAGACACAGACACACACCCAGACACACACACACACAGACACACTCTCACACACACACACAGACAGACACCGACACAGACAGACACAGACACACACCCAGACACACACACACACAGACACACTCTCACACACACACACAGACAGACACCGACACAGACAGACACAGACACACACCCAGACACACACACACACAGACACACTCTCACACACACACACACACACACAAGGCCGTTGCTCTGTTTGTGCAGCCACAGCACCATCATCTGAGCGCCGGAGGAACTGCAGCTCCACTCATCGCTCACACTCACAAGCACAGCTTCTGTCCTAACTGTGGGCTGGGCACACTGACACACACTCTGCGTTTACCTCTGCGTCGTCTTCCGTGCGGAGCCCCAGATTGAGGACGGCGTGTGGCTCCTTCAGTCTGCTCCGAGCCGACGAGGACATCTGCAGATTGAGCTGCCAACCCACGAGATCCAGCTAGAACACACACGAGAAACACTCAACTACATCATGAGCTCAAACTCACGCTGATGTTCAGATCTGAAGCTGGTCTGAACGGATGACAGCATCATCAGATTAATAACAGACATTAATATGAACACTTCAGATGGTCCTGACACACTGGCTTCTACTGGTTCCTGGAAGAACTTTTAACATCCATGAAATCTTTCAAAAGCACAAAAGATTATTAAAAAAAGTTCTTCACACTAAGAAAAAAAAGGTTCTTTTGAGAACTGTTCACTGCAAGGTTCTTTAGGGAACCAAAAATGTTTCTTCCCCTTCAGGAAGCTTTTGGCTTTAGTTTAGAGTCATTAGATGATTCAGATTGTGAGTCTTTTTGACTGATTCGTTACAAAGAATCGGTTCGAGAGTCATTTGCTCATGAGTCTGTTCACATCTACACATTTTTCACAACAAAGCTTCTTTTTTGGAATTGATGGTTTCATGAAGAACCTTTCACGTCAATGGAGCCTTTACATTACACAGAAGGTTCTTTATATTATTAAAATGCTTTTAAAATAAAGCAAGAAGCCGTGGTTTACAGTGAATTTATAACAGCTAAACTGCAGCTCCACTCATCGCTCACACTCACAAGCACAGCTTCTGTCCTAACTGTGGGCTGGGCACACTGACACACACTCTGCGTTTACCTCTGCGTCGTCTTCCGTGCGGAGCCCCAGATTGAGGACGGCGTGTGGCTCCTTCAGTCTGCTCCGAGCCGACGAGGACATCTGCAGATTGAGCTGCCAACCCACGAGATCCAGCTAGAACACACACGAGAAACACTCAACTACATCATGAGCTCAAACTCACGCTGATGTTCAGATCTGAAGCTGGTCTGAACGGATGACAGCATCATCAGATTAATAACAGACATTAATATGAACACTTCAGATGGTCCTGACACACTGGTTCCTTGAAGAACTTTTAACATCCATGAAATCTTTCAAAAGCACAAAAGATTATTAAAAAAGTTCTTCACACTAAGAAAAAAAAGGTTCTTTTGAGAACTGTTCACTGCAAGGTTCTTTAGGGAACCAAAAATGTTTCTTCCCCTTCAGGAAGCTTTTGGCTTTAGTTTAGAGTCATTAGATGATTCAGATTGTGAGTCTTTTTGACTGATTCGTTACAAAGAATCGGTTCGAGAGTCATTTGCTCATGAGTCTGTTCACATCTACACATTTTTCACAACAAAGCTTCTTTTTTGGAATTGATGGTTTCATGAAGAACCTTTCACGTCAATGGAGCCTTTACATTACACAGAAGGTTCTTTATATTATTAAAATGCTTTTAAAATAAAGCAAGAAGCCGTGGTTTACAGTGAATTTATAACAGCTAAGTGGATATGGTTACGGTTGTTCCATATACGTAGTACGGATTCACAAAATAAAACGGAGCAAATAAAGTGTAATGATATTAATAAACACAGTATTCTTCCACCAAACAATGTAGCTCCTCAGAAACAGTTGTGGTTGCTACAAAGTGGTTGCCGAGCAACACACAAACGTAAACAAAGGTGTGTGTTACTTTGTAGCGTCATTTACAACAGCTTCGAACGCGGCTCAGCCAATCAGAATCAAGCTCCGGAACTCTCCGCTTTATAACAT